CGATGATTTTTACGGATTTTGATTTAGGGGCAAAAGCTGTGTTAAAGCTGTTAACATACTGTGCGGTGGCTGCTATGCCGTTGTTTGGTGTAGCCAAATGCGTATTCGTAGTATGTTGAGCGGGTAGCGGGGTAGCAATAACTGCTGATTGACTTGCGGGCGAACTGCATTGATAATTTGCGGTGAATGCTTCGTGGATTGAGGTGTGATGACTGCGGTGACATATTCGGCATTTCGACGAGCTTTTACAGCTTGTTGTTGTGTGTCCTAAACTGAGGCAATTAAAGCATGCGTTCTTTTGTCGAATCGCATCGAACTTTCTTTTTGCACTCAGCTTGTCATAGTCATCACAATGATAGATCTTGTGATCCTTGTTGCAATATGTGCACTTACTCTGACTCGGGGCGCTGCTATGAAATGCACTCATACTCCCTTTCAATTGTCTAGTTATGGGTTTTGATTGTCTGGGCGGATCGGAATTTCCAAGCATTTCCAGTGAACGGGCTCTTATGAGAAGGAATTCCGATAATTCCTCAAATGTTGGAGGCGAGTCATCCGTTAATGACAATTCCCATTGTTTTCGGGTTTCATATGCAAGCTTTGATACTGTCCAGTAAACCAACCAATCGTCATACAGGTCTACGGGGCGGCCAAGTGCACGTAAAGCAGCAATATGTTGCAATACTAAGCCATGTATTGACTTTATTGATGCGGCAGTGTCTTTTGTAGACTTCTCTATTGTGAAAATTGCATGTAAATGCGTATCCACTAATAATCGCATAACCTTATAGCGATCTATTAAAATGTTCCAGGCCTCGGAGTAATTTGCGTCACCTACTTTAAGTCCGCTGATAGCTTGTAAAGCTTCCCCTTTAAGGCAACTGCGTAAATAATGCATCTTTTGACCATCTGTGATGCTGGTGTTTGTGTGTATCAAGGAACAAAATGTATCGTGGAAAGATACCCAGTCCGCTGATCTGCCGTCAAATGTTGTTAACTGTATTTTCGGCAATTGTATGGATGCAGTTGCAACAGGGGCATCCGTGGGCGAAAGTTGTGGGTTGTAGGCGACTTCATTTTGAACTACTGAAGGATGCGCGGCTAGCAATTTGTCAAAATTGCTTTTTGCGAGCAGATACCATTCCTCAGCTTGAATACGTGCTTCTTCTTCCACCTGGTATTCCACGCCACAAGATATCTCCACCTTTTCCTGCGCTTGGTTAAAGCGTCGCCACTGCTCTTCCAGAAGCAGACTATAATTTTGGGCCATTTCCAAATTAATAGCCATCTCATCCTTCTTACTAGCCTCCATATACCTCTTTATGGCTCTGGATGCTGAGTCGCGTACCTTAACCTCATTCATAGCCATTGTGGTTATGTTTTTCACTTACGCGGGGTATATTTTTGTTAAATATTTTAACCCCAATATTTTAACATCCGGCTCGAACGGACCAAAAAATGTTGCAGCGAAAATAAAAACTTTGGTTTTAAATTAGTTTTAATGTGTTTTATTAATCAAGTTATGTTACACGCGTACTTTCTGTAAAAAACACACTAACTCGGACAACGTGTTTTGGTATCAAAAAAAAACAGACAAAAGGAGAGAGAAAAGATAGAGAGTTGTAACGAACTATAACTTACAATGTCAATCATTGTCACAACATACAATAGGCATAGGAGAACAAAATAAAACATAGAAAACAGTGTTGCCATATTGGCGCGAACACAGATTAAAAAGCAGGCGTGGTCAGTTCTTCAGCCCCCAACTAATCTCGTGTAACAATTTTCAAACCGATATCTTCATTATTTGGCAAATATAAGAATTTTAGGTAAATCGAAATAGTGGGCGCAAAAGTAGGCGTGGTCAAAATTTTTTCTTTAAAAACCTTACTCGGGGTATGACGAACGTGTGTACAAAAAAATATGCAAATCGGTCCAGCCGTTCTCAACTGATTCCATTGCCAACGAACATTCTATTTATTCTCTTGTCGCTAGATGTGGTCTTAGCTGTATACATAATATTTTGCCTACGCATTATAATGTTCCCACTAATCGCACTTCTTGGATTGATTACTTTCTAACCAGCAATCCATCACATGTTGCCCATAGCATACAGATGCGATTTCCCTTCTTTTCCTCCTACCCCAGTTGGATTTTCATTTCTTTGTATAGCCCACATATAACGGTACTTTGATAATATTATTTGATTTGACGTATTTGAAGTTCCGAATCGGTACTACAGCATATCACAAACAATTACTTATGCAGGACCACATCTTCGTATAACGGTTTTTTTTTTTTGAGCGGTATTTTTCGACCGAATTTTTTTAACATTTTTCAAGTTCCTTCCACATGGTGGAGGGTATTAAAAGGCACGGCCGAACTTAGCTGCTTTAATACTTCTTTTAGGTATATTGTTGACATTATCGACACAGCTATATTGTAAAAGTATTGTCCAGAGGATTTTAGACGGAGTCTTAAAAACACAAAAAAAACTATACTTTTTTGTCAATTAATTAAAAATACGAAAAGTAAACAGACAGTATTCCTGCAGAAGCTTGCAACAAATTTGTCAAAACAGACCAATTTATCCCCCATTACAAGAATTAAAAGAAAGGATGCACATCCAATTTTACAAGTTTTATAAATAAAAAGGAAATTAGCAATAAAATAAAAATATGAGCAATAAAATAAAGATATATTTGATAAGGAACTCATAATAATAATTTAAACGTGTTGCTAATGACGTTTGTCTAAAAATGTTGGAAATAGTCTTTTATTTTCTTATTATTTGTATAGTTGTTCTCCAAAAACAATTAGTCTTGTTAATTTCAAAAAGAAACAAACAATCATTAGAAAACATCAGATTGAAAGTCGATGAATGAGAAGAAGAAGAGTTGCAAGTGATTGCAAGAAGAAATTTGTCCAGCAAGAATTTGCAAACTCTCACTGAAAGAACTGTCAAAATTTCTCTCTCCAACCGCTCTCTTTTGCAGAAATTTTGGGTTAACAGACGATTTCCAGTAAAAATTTGTAACAATTGTTACAAATTTTAGGGTAACCAGACACACCTAATAACTTGTTCTATACCAAATATGCCATTAAGCCAAGAAATGTGCGGACAATTATTGTTTTTATTTTTTCGAAAGTTCCCAACGCCACTCATTTCCTACCCCCGCCGACCGAGGGGCGACCATCCCCAAACGTAGGGATCACGTACAAATCATAATCTGCACCAGATGGAATATCGATAGATTTAGAATGACAAACTTCAAACAAAAATATCTGCGACCTATCGCGCAATTAGGATGAAATGCATAAAACCACGTTTCTATTAAATCCTATACGTTCAACTTGGAATAAAAGTAACTTATGATTGACTTTATCAAATTGTGTCAGTTGGAATGTTGCGAACAAACCCTTTAATGACCTCTAATAAAAATTGGATAATTAATCCAGTGCGGAAACCATGTTGAAATTGATTTAGGATAGATTTGACTTGATGGGAAAATACATCAATAAATAATGTTTCAAACAACTTTGGAATAGCACTCAACTTTGCAATTCATCTATAATTGGAAACATCCACTAACTTGTTTATGTAGAGCTACCAAATGCGATTTCTTCCAAATAGAAGGGATTCTCTTTGCCTACTCCTGCTTTATATCAGGGGTAGGCAGAGAAACTCAAAATTATTTTGTGATTGTATGTGTTTTAAAATAAAAATAATTGAAGGTGCCTCTTTACCTCTCTGTACACAGTGGGAAATACTTTGTTTCTTTTTATACCCTCCACCATACTATGGAGGGTATATTAACTTTGTCATTCCGTTTGTAACTCCTCGAAATACTCATATCAGACCCAACAAAGTATATATATTCTTGATCAGCGATTTTGGGCAGGTCCACGTCTTCGTATAGCCCCCATACAACGGTACCTCCCGATATTCGGTATTGTGATTATTTTAGCGTTATTTTAGTTACAATACCCACCGAAATTGTTTGATATATCGTATTTGACGTTAGTAATGGATGCTATAGCCTGTGACAGAAAATTGTCTATGCTGTTCCAGGTCTTCGCACAGCTCCGATATAACGGTACCTCCCTATATACGATATTTTGATGATTTTTGCTACATTATTCACCGTTTATTTCAAGTTTCGAATTTGAATATGGAAATGGCAAACAATGCCTGTGTAGGTCTACGTCGTATAGGCCCCAATATAATGGGTATATTCGATATTTTTAAAATTTTAACAGAATTTTTTTAGGATTTTATTTTTTGAAAATTTCCAAATTTGTTCCAAATGGTGGAGGGTATTCATAGTTCGGCCCGGACGAACTTACTGCTTTTTAACTTGTTTATATCTGTTTTTAAATTTTTAAAAATTTTCGAGACGTGGATTTTTTAAAGAGTCTGCAAGACGTGGCTTTTTAAAGAGTATTTTTTGAGGAGCCTATTAGCCGCGGATTTTTAAAGAATATTTTTTGAAGAACCTATTAGCCGCGGGTTTTTAAAGAATATATTTTGAATAGGCTATTAGACGCGAGTTTTTAAAGAATATTTTTTTAAGAAGCTTTTGATAAAAAAATATCGCTGTTATATTTACACAATTTAGTAAGCTATAATTTATTTTGGAAGAGAAGAGATAACATGAATAACGAAAAATTATAAATAAGTGGCCCGCCGATGTAATTTTTTATAGATATGTGTGACACAAAAATATATTTAGATTCTTTCTCACTCACTATCGAAATTAAACTAATTTTTTTGGGGAGAGCAGAAATATATTGGAAGTTAAATTTATGTACATCAATATTTCTAACGGTGTATTCATTAAACTAAACAACTATTTAATCACAGGATTAATTACAAATATAAAAACATGAATTTTTCAATGTTGGCGACGAAAATAAAGTAGTTGCTAAGCCTTGTTGATATCCATCCATATTTGAATGTAGTCCTTATTGAATAAACCATATTATTCTTCTGATTGCAGATACAATGACAACAATAGGTGACCGAGTTTTAAATATATCACTGCCAAAAATTGGAGAAAAAAGTCTTTTTACCAGAGATCTTGAGGATGCTTTACGCAATGGTGGTGTTGACTTTGTTGTTCATTCTCTGAAGGACTTACCAACGGCCTTACCAACAGGCATGGCAATAGGAGCCGTTCTTGAACGAGAAGATGCCAGAGATGCTCTTGTGCTTCGAAAGGACTACAAGGATTATACAATAGACACGTTACCTCATGGCAGCGTTATTGGTAAGATGGAAAAATATAATTTAAGTAGGTTATTTTAAATGAATCTTCTAGGTACATCATCCCTAAGAAGGACTGCCCAATTGCGGAGACAATACCCCCATCTCGTTGTTTGTGATATCCGTGGCAACTTGAATACTCGATTGGCAAAATTGGATGCTGCAGATTCCAAGTTTGCAGGAATAATTTTAGCTCAAGCTGGATTGGTTCGTATGGGATGGCACGATCGTATCAGTCAAGTTCTTGAGCCTACCGAGCTCCTATATGCCGTTGGACAAGGAGCTTTAGCTGTGGAATGTCGTGTCAATGACACAGACATTTTGACAATGCTTCGTAGTCTCTCGTGCATTTCAACAACGTGCCGTATTTTGGCTGAACGAAGTTTCCTTAAAACTCTTGGTGGTGGCTGTAGCGCGCCCGTAGCCGTATTCAGTAACTTGAAAGGAAACTTGGCTAATGATGGCAATTGTTCTAACACAGTTAATTTACATCTGGACGGAGCTGTATGGAGCCTTGATGGTTCTAATGAAATACGAAGAGATATGGCCTGCTTACTTGCCGACCCTACAATCGCCGAAGAAAATAGTAATGACGAGCCTCCTCAAAAGCGTACAAGAGCCAATGAAAGCAGCAGCCCAGAATTACGGAACCAAAACAGTCCTCCAGTCATTAATGATGATTCTGAGATAGAAGCTATTGCCGGTTCATACAACATTAATGAATTGGTAGAGAAACATATAAATTTAGCTAATAAATGTCCTGTTGTGGGCACGGATATTAAAAAAGAAGCGCAAAACGGGAATAATATTGACGAAGATAGAGTTGGTGACGCCGAAAGCGGCAAGGCATGTCCACTGCCAATAGATATTGGTCAGGATGTTATGGGTCAGTGTCCATTTGTGGGTAACGATACAAAAGTATTTCTGGCTGCAACCGGAAAATGTCCCATGTCTGGCAATAAACTGAACAACAATAGCGTTGAGAGCGATGATAAAGTAGACTGTGCTCCAACTCCTTCCACATCAAAATGTCCTTTTGCAGCAATGCACAGCAGAAGCGGTATGACACTCAGTGCCAAAGCTCCTAAAAGGAGTCACGAAGACACTGTGGGGAAATGTCCTTTCCTACAAAAGACTATTAAAATGTTTGACTACTCTGAGGACGAGACGGCACATTCCAATGCTAATATACTTATAGAAGATGTTGACAATCTATTTTGTGGTCTTTATCAGCATGAATGCTATGATCGTCAATTGTACATCAAGAGTAACAAACTTGGAGAACAGTTGGCCGAGGAGTTGATCAAAAAAGGTGCTTTAGAAGTAATGAGATTAGCTCAGGCAGAGATACATAGCAAATCTTAATAAACGGACTCTGATATTGCGTTTTGTTTCTGGCTTTGTTTCAAAATAGTGTTCAGGCACATTTGTTGGTTTGTTGTATTTTTTCACTTTACATAGTTATATATGTAAGAATATCGATTGATGTGTCCAAATGTTGTTAAAATTTCTTTAAAAGACGCAATATAGAAACGTACCATTAATTTTTATTTACAAATTGTTACACCATTAATCAAATATAAAAAAAGTTGTAGTAAATGTAATAAAGGAGCGGCATTATTTTATGAAACCATAATGGAATCAAAAGTTTTTTTTTTTTGTATTTATATAGTGAAACTTGATTGAGCTAACAAGCGATTTTGTTAAATTTCCTGTTTAAACGTTGACACACATAGCAAAATTTCTATCGAATTTTAAAGTAAATAAAAAATGAAGATATGAATTTGAACATTTTTTTCTGGAACAAAACAACAATTAACGAGAATTATCGATTACAGCAATTTTTAAATTGCTTCCAATTTTGGTAATTAAGGAAGTTTGTCGGTAAGATAGCGACGAAAACAAAGTAGTCGCTAAGACCTACCAATGGAAATAATGTTCTAAATTTTCCTTCACTTTTTTCATGTAGAATACACAACTTGTCCACTATGGTTAAATGTTTCGTACATCCGTATTACTAAAATACGGCAGGTCCATATCTAAAAATCCAACAAATGATAACGTTGTAAAAATGTATCACTTATAAAATTCACCCAATTATAATTTTTGTCGGCAAAGAAGTTAGATAATCAAAATATTCTCATCAGGCGTTAAGTAATTTAAATATTTGTCGTCACTTTCTGCATTTTGTAATTGATCTTTTATGACGTCAACCTTTTTCCGTGCGTGGAAGGTTGCTCGTGTGGTGCCTGTTCATTGAGTTGGTGCTTGTGGGTTATTATTTGCTATTTATTTTTAGTTATTGGCTAGGGAGCCATTTTTATGGATGTTTGTTTTTCACGTTTACATATAAATGAATTTGGATTAAAATTGTCATATCCATTGCTCATACTTCAAATAAATCCTGTTACAGTAGGTAAACCCTGCAAAAAGTTATAACGTAATAATGGCATAACTTTATTTATTTTTTTCTCTTCTTCTCTCTTGGAGTTATTTATTTATTGTCATTTATTTTTCTCATTAGCGTAGCTTGAATTTGCTGCTTTCGCTGGATTGAAAACGAGTGATGATTAGCGCTGTGGCATGTTGATTCTTCTTGCTTTTTACCTCTCTGCCTGGCTGGATCTACCTAGTTATAGACGTGGTTTTTAATATAAGATTTTGGCCATTTTGGCATGTTCTTCGCCGTTTTAAGACACATGTATCAAATTTCGCAGATCATATTTAACCAATATTAGATCTCATATGAAGTGGTGATGTATCGCTTCACTTTGTCTAGTACCTCTTCCACAAATGGTCGATATTTTTATAATCATTATTCTCATGCAAGCCACACACGATACAACCGTTGGTACAACCTGGAGGGTTGTCAAGTTATATGCTTCGGCCACAAACAATACAACTTTGTATACAACCCTTTGTACAACTTCACTTTTCGAAGAGTTCATTTGAGTTAAGATGACACCGGAAATAATTTCGTGCTCTATAATTTACTTAATAGCCTTTATTTATTATTAATTTTTGAAATTCCGTTTTATATTATTTTTATTTTTTATATTTTCATTGTAATGCAAGCCACACACGAAGCAACTGGTTGTACAACTTGGAGAGGTTGTATTCAAGATTGTATCGATTGTGGCCCGGTTGTACGAAGTTGTGTCTCGGTTGTACAAAAAATCAACATTTTTTGATATACATACAATTTCATTTTTGGTTTATTTTCAAAGATGCAACACCATTGTTTCGTTCGTCTAAGCAACACGAAATTTAACATTGTACAATAAAGAGGTAGAACAGCTTCGTAAAACTACAGACATACAGCCCTGAGGCTATGCCCACTTCCTGTCAAATTTGCATGCAACAGGTTGTTTTAATTTATTCAATATTTTCCTCATTTTTAAAATCAGTTAAACAGCGATGAAAATAACTGAAATGTCTGGATTTTCTTTCAAAAATATGATCTAAACAGTTCTATGTTTCAATTCCATGGCAAACCTGGCGAAAAGCTTTACTTAGAAAAAAAAAAATAGCTTGTACCTTTCCTTTTTTGTACCATGGGTTTTTACGGCTACATTCATTGATTTTTCGATACCACAAAATAACAGACACCCTTTTTCGCGAGAAATTAAAAATTTAAATTTAATGGATAAATAAAAATTATTACCACTTCAGATTTGGTCCTTTTTTATTCTTTCTACCTATTCTCGTATTTTTTACTATCTTCAGTTTCGCAACCACTCTAAACATACATGACAATTAAAATAAATCCAGCTTTTATTTTAATAATATTGAATCGTATTAGTAATATTTGCATTATCAAAAACTTCAGACATCTAATTTTTCTCACAAATCGTAAACAACAAATATGTGGTACACTACCGGTATATTATTTTTTTAATGTTCCGTCATGTGGTACACTACGATTTTTTTAGTGCTATTAAAATTTCACTACCACTAAAATTTAGTGTAGTGCAATTTATTTTTCACTACCACTAACCCTTGAGTGGTAATGGAATAAAAAATTCCACTACCACTAATTATTTAATTCTTAGTGCACTAAAAATTTAGTGCAATATGCCCAAACCTGCTTTGAACAATGGAAATCAATATTTCTTTGCAAGTCTCAATGATTTATTCGTGAATAAAAATTAATAAAAACATGCAAAAATTGGATATTTTGCAGACTGCGTACTGTTCTATTCGACATCTATATATCGTTCGCTGATAAGTGTTTTTCTCTCATATGTGCTTCCATTTTATGGACATTCTTAAAGCGTCTATGGCAATTTCGGAACTGGCATGGAAGTAGCGTTGCTTTACATTTTTCGCTGAAAACGTGCGACTCGTACTTTTGTACAGACCGGAACTCCATGAAACAATTGGGGCATTCTTTTAACTTCTCCCCCATGTGATTACTTTCTATATGCTCTCGTAGTAAACTCTTTTGGTTGAATTTCTTCCCACAGAGAACACAATTTAGTACCTTCGTAAAGCTTTGTTCGCTCACATCGACATCGACAATAGTTTCATTCAATGTACTACTTTCAGCGATGGACGAAGAATCCAATTTAACACGCTTGTCCTCTTTGTCGCCAAGGGCAGTTTCGTTACATTCTCCATTTTCATTATCTATATCTGCCTTCGTTGTTGTGCTATGATCTTTTTCATCTGTTCCATTTGTTAATGAGTCCTCCAACTTACGTTTTACACTTTTCTTCTTCTTGGCGGAATCGGCACCAGGTTTTAAAAGACATTCATCATTTAAGGCGGCATTATCATCGGTAAATTTCTTAAAAGCAGATTCCTGGACTCCATTTACTTTTGTTGGAGAAAACAATTTGGATATGTCTTTCTTCTTTTTAGTCGGGCTTACTTCTTTCGATTTTGCTGCAGGTGTGGTTTTTGATGGAGTTTTGGTTGCTTTGGCCGCTGGTCGTGAGAGACGAAGCATAGACTTACGCAACTTGTTGACGACACTTTCGATGTGCACCAACTGGATGGCGCACTGATTACATATCAGCACATCAACCAATTTGCGGGAGTCCAACTACAGTAATAAAGTGAAGTGTATGTAAATCAAGTACAGTGAGTGGATAAAATAATCTTTTTGTTATTCCTACCTCTATTCCAGATATTTTCTCTATTATTTCCGGTATAGGCCTCCCAAAATATTCTACCGAGATGGGAAAATTATCCGCCTCGATTATCGTACAGATTTTACACCGTTTTGAAACCACCATTTTATTTTTTTTTTTAACAAACACGTTGCAGAACAAACAAACACGAGGCGAATGCGACGTCCCCAACGAAACGAATATTTAGGTCAAAAAGGAATACGTGATAAAAGATAAACAGAAAGCAAAATCCCGGTGTACTCCGTTGTTTACGAATGAAGTGTAATGCATATCGCTAAGTACTCTGTGGTTTACGAGTGAGGATATGAGGAATACTCAATCAGACTGAACACATTCTTCAAATGAGCTGCGGGACTAGTATTCGCGTCAGGCACTAGCTGCTATCAAAATGAAAGACGTCCCCAACGAAACGAATATATAAGCCAAAAAGGAATACCTGATAAAAGATAAAAAACAAAATCCCTGTGTACTCTCTTGTCTACGAATGGGTGCAATGCATATCGCCGAGACTCTATGGTTTACGAATTAGGACATGAGGAATATGCAATCAGACTGAACACATTCTTTAAATGAGCTGTGGGGCTAGCTTGTCATATCGTGATTTGATTTTGTGAGTTGTGTATGACTTTTCAACTGTGCAATAGACAACCTTGCCGTAGCCATAACCATAAATAGCTGTTGTTGTTATGTACATAAACGGAAGCACAGGCGGCTTAACTCTAGTTCATTTAAATTATGTTTTCAACAAAAAAGTTTTATTTCGCTTTGGCGGTGTTGGACCTACAAAAGTATCAAATTTAGAAAACTTTGTGCATACCGGCCGAATCGGCTACTTACAAAAGTGTCAAACTTTAGTTCGCGTAGTTAGTAACAGTTGTACCATAAATTTGAACCGGGTCCGGATCTATATCGGATAAGTGGATCCTGGTCTTGAACCCGAACATTCGGGTCACGAATCTGGGGCCCATCCCCCAAGAAAAAATAGTTTCTCGGAAACAGGGTAAATATGAAAATACCTACCTCTGAAAAAAAATCGAAGAGTTTTTACTAAACTAGAGTGGTTTTATTAAAACTTACACAATATGCAACATCAGATCTCTGGTTGAGACAAATATTAAGATATACCAAATTGTAAAAAATCGCTGATTGTTTCGCAAAGTTATGAGTTGTATAAGTAAATTGTATAAGTTGTTACCCTTTGTAGGAGAGGTACTAGAAGGGGTGAACCGAAGTCAGCCATCTTCACACTAGATTTTGCTTAAGTAGAAGTATAGGGATGTGTAAAATTTGAAAAGAATCGAATGCTACTTTCGCATTTTACGAGCTTCATGGTTATTCAAAGTTTTTTTTTAAGTTTTGTCTTTTTATCCAGGTGGCTCTCAACATGTTTTGCATAGTCAACATGCTGATTTACGCGTTCAACCCACTCGAATTCGAAAACACATTTTATCGTTTATCAAGAATTTCACTTGATTATTCCGGAATTTTTTGATGTCATCACGTAGTTTTCATTTATCTTTTATTATGCAACAATTTTTAAATGGCAAATATCCTACAATTTATGATATTTTTAACATTTTAGAATTGAGTGACTTCAATATTCCTACTCAAACCCCTGAAACGATATAAACGACATCTGCTGATCCGATTTTTTGTCGAAGATATGCGTAGACCCATGGTACAATGATATCAAGGTAGGGCAGAACTACCATATGATTTCAATTTTTTTAATTTCTTGGCCTAATACGTCATCTTTTTTTGTTTATGTATGTGTTTTCTTTTTAATAACAAAAAAATTGTTCAGAAAACATTCAAATTCGGGTGTTTTCAAAATGTTCATTTCAACGCATGCATCGACAAAATCTAGAGTTTTGTAGCGAAATAATCCTTTAGAGACATATAGTACATGATTTTGAAAAGAAGTGTTGACCTTTCATTCAGTTATCGCGATTTTCAATTATTTATTCAAAATAAATGCAACAAGTTGTTTGATTTTTTATTGTTTTGATACTAATTCTGACATTACAAGCCAAACAGGTAGACCTCTATACTTGCAATTTTTTCAAAGTTGACCTACCTTCTCTTCATTGTACCATGCGTAGACCTACATAGGCAACTTTTGTCATAAAACATTAAAATAATCAAATGCGAAACTTGAATAAAAAAATTGGTGAATAATGTAGCTAAAATCATCAAAATTCCAAATTTGAAACAATTTCGGTGAGAAATGTCGCCAAAAATTATCAAAATACCGAATATTAGGAGGTACCGTTATATGGGGGCTATATGAAGATGTTGACCTGCACAGACAATTATCTGCCGTAGGCTGCAGCATCCGTTACGAACTCCAAATACTAAATTTGAAACAATTCCGGTGAATAATGTCGCTAAAATTATCAAAATACCGACTATCGGGAGGTACCGTTATATGGGGGCTATATGAAGATGTTGACCTGCACAGACAATTATCTGCCGTAGGCTGCAGCATCCGTTACGAACTCCAAATACCAAATTTGAAACAATTCCGGTGAATAATGTCGCTAAAATTATCAAAATACCGACTATCGGGAGGTACCGTTATATGGGGGCTATACGAAGACGTTGACCTGCACATACAATATTCTGTCATAGGCTGTAGTACCCATTACGAACTTCAAATACCAAATTTGAAACATTTTCGGTAAATAATGTCGCTTAACTCACCAAAATACCGAAAAAAGGGAGGTACCATTATGTGGGGGGCTATACCAAAACGTGGACCTACAGCACCTATTTTCAATACCAAAAGACCTGCAGACATAATACACATTTGAGTAACATTTTATCAACCTACTTCATTTCGTTCGGAAGCTAGTCCACAGACGGATGGACGGACAGACCTCGCTAAATCGACAAGAAAAAGGAAGTATACAAGTTTTCAACCTTTGGGGAAAATTAATTCATCTACTTTGGAGACACCTTGCTATTTTTCTGATATTACCTCCATCGTGAATTGTGGCGCATTTCCGCATGTGGAGAACAACTAGCGGAAATGGGAATGGTGACATCATTCAGGACTTTTTTTTATATTCCCAAAATGTAGTTTCGCATTAAAACTTTGTAATGATTTATTGCCGTCGGCAAATACTTATTAAAAATTCTCCAATGCATGAACGATTTTACAAATCATTGGCAAAATGTGTAAATTATTCTTATATTAACGTAACCTGATGGTTTAACGTAATTAACCCTTAGTAATAATAGTGAAAATTTAGGAAATTTTCCATTCGAATAATTCATTTAATATATATAAATATATATTATTATTGTCCAATATAATTTCAATAAGTAAGTCTTAAGGTCTTGGTTTTTTCTTTATTAAAATCGTCTTTATTGCATCTTCAGAGAGATATGTAAAACATCCATAAAAGTGTCAAGTTTTACTTAAAACTATTACAGAATTTCCCTATCATTGTCTGTGGTACATATTGCGTTGAGTGCAAGAAAAAAAACATACATAAAGTTCAAAGAAAAACTTACTTACTCATCATTAAAATAGAATTGTTGTTAATACTTTAAAAGTTATTACTTTGTTGTAGGATTTAAAATGAATTTGTTTAGTTAAGTCTTTCTTTACAAGTACAATTTCAAGTTAACGAACAGGGCTGTCATTATATATAATTTGGTAAATCGAAAACTACTGTGCCATGGTATATGAAAACTGAATGGAAGGTAAAGATTTCATATTTTTTCAGTCATCATGTTTTAATGTCATTAGTTATAATCAGAATTTTGATAATTTAAATCCAGCGTTCGAAAATAAACAGTATAGTACTGTACCGTAGTGTTCTGTGCCGTTCCGAGGCGGAGTGGTACACTAAGATAATGTACCGTACCGGAGCACAACCCTTAAAAAATATTTTAGTGATACTGTACCGGAGCACAACAAGAATCGTACTGCACCGCAGTCGGAGCACTAAGAAATTTGTGAAAAGTATTCTGTTTAAAATAACGTTTTTTTTGTGCGGAAATAAAGTTAATTTTGTTAAGTATTATACAATGCCGGGGTTTTCAATTGTTTCTGCAATTGAGGCGCAAAGTAATAAAGGGTGATTTTTTTGAGGTTAGGATTTTCATGCATTAGTATTTGACAGATCACGTGGGATTTCAGACATGGTGTCAAAGAGAAAGATGCTCAGTATGCTTTGACATTTCATCATGAATAGACTTACTAACGAGCAACGCTTGCAAATCATTGAATTTTATTACCAAAATCAGTGTTCGGTTCGAAATGTGTTTCGCGCTTTACGTCCGATTTATGGTCTACATAATCGACCAAGTGAGCAAACAATTAATGCGATTGTGACCAAGTTTCGCACTCAGTTTACTTTATTGGACATTAAACCAACCACACGAATGCGTACAGTGCGTACAGAAGAGAATATTGCGTCTGTTTCTGAGAGTGTTGCTGAAGACCGTGAAATGTCGATTCGTCGCCATTCGCAGCAATTGGGTTTGTGTTATTCGACCACATGGAAGATTTTACGCAAAGATCTTGGTGTAAAACCGTATAAAATACAGCTCGTGCAAGAACTGAAGCCGAACGATCTGCCACAACGTCGAATTTTCAGTGAATGGGCCCTAGAAAAGTTGGCAGAAAATCCGCTTTTTTATCGACAAATTTTGTTCAGCGATGAGGCTCATTTCTGGTTGAATGGCTACGTAAATAAGCAAAATTGCCGCATTTGGAGTTAAGAGCAACCAGAAGCCGTTCAAGAACTGTCCATGCATCCCGAAAAATGCACTGTTTGGTGTGGTTTGTACGCTGGTGGAATCATTGGACCGTATTTTTTCAAAGATGCTGTTGGACGCAACGTTACGGTGAATGGCGATCGCTATCGATCGATGCTAACAAACTTTTTGTTGCCAAAAATGGAAGAACTGAACTTGGTTGACATGTGGTTTCAACAAGATGGCGCTACATGCCACACAGCTCGCGATTCTATGGCCATTTTGAGGGAAAACTTCGGAGAACAATTCATCTCAAGAAATGGACCGGTAAGTTGGCCACCAAGATCATGCGATTTGACGCCTTTAGACTATTTTTTGTGGGGCTACGTCAAGTCTAAAGTCTACAGAAATAAGCCAGCAACTATTCCAGCTTTGGAAGACAACATTTCCGAAGAAATTCGGGCTATTCCGGCCGAAATGCTCGAAAAAGTTGCCCAAAATTGGACTTTCCGAATGGACCACCTAAGACGCAGCCGCGGTCAACATTTAAATGAAATTATCTTCAAAAAGTAAATGTCATGGACCAATCTAACGTTTCAAATAAAGAACCGATGAGATTTTGCAAA